GATCTGAGTTCCTGTTTTTCCTTTCGCGTCCGTCGAGTTGACGGATACTTTCGATCTTCTGGAGGGCTAATTCAAGAAGTTCCTTCTTCCTGATCACGTCCAGGTGGTTCCGGATGCGCGGGTCTTCACGGGCAAATCGCTCGACTTCTGCGTCGGATAGGTGGCGGCCTAGACGCATGTCGAGCTCGCGGGGGAAGTTGTAGTAGAATTCGGAGAGGAGCTCAACGTTGAGGAAGAGGACGGCCGTTGAGGTGAGCTTGTCGGCGACAACGTCGAGGAAGACCTCCGGGCAGTAGTATTTGTTCTTTTTGGAGGAGCATTGCTTAGAGCGAACAGCGAGGAGCCGCATTTTAATTAGGTCAGCTCGGTCACGGAGGAAGACGCTTTCGCGGCCTGTCTTTTTGTTAGATTCGTTACCATGTTGACAAGTAGGATAGAATCGACTTACCTCGGGCCAGCAAGGCGGAGCTAAATCCACCCGCACCGCCAGCGCCGTCGCCTTCCAGGAATACCTCGCCCTTCCGCACCTTGTCGATGAATGACATGACGTCCTTCAGCTTGCGCCGTCCGATGGAGTCTTCAAGGCGCTTGAAGGCCGTCTCGCAAGCTCTGAGTTCCTCCTTGAGGACTTTGCTGACATTTTCCCTTCCCTTGGCCCATTCCGGGTCCTCGACTTCAATCTCGAACTTGAACGGCTTGATGCAATTTTCAACTTGATCACTGGTGCTGAAGAATCGGTCGTTCAAGATACTATTGCATGCATCGACGATCTGCTTTTGAGCGTATGGATGCGTGGCAAATGTGGAGTTGGCGATTAGGCGATCGACGTGGGATTGGATCGCGTTGGCGACAACTGTGGTGGCAAGTCGACCAATTCCCAGCTTCGTCAGGGAAGATGTTGAAGCATCGAGTTTGCGGTGCCAGTACAGTGACTCCGGGTCAGCTTTGGCAAGGTCACTGAGCGGATCCAATTCTGGTAGCGGAGCGGATAGATCTTCTATCGGCTTATTCCAATATCTTTGCGCCAGGATGTCCATTACCCGCTGATCAAGCTCGTTCTTCAGCATTTCACGGACCTGAGGGCGACCGAAGCTTTCGGCAAACGCCTTGAAAGAGTGCTTGAAGCTGTCCAAGCTCTCTGCAAGATAAGACTCTGCACTCAGAGGACGATCGTTGTACTGAACCTTGAACTCATAGGTTGCCTCCTCAAGTTCTTGACTGATTGCATCCCTAGTACCCGCTAGGCTTGATGCCATCGTCTGCTCGAGAACATGCATGAGCTTCGTGCGCAAAGTAGAAACACCGACAGAAACGTCCGATTGTGATCCAAACTCCGACGGGTGAGCAGAGAAATAGGCGTGTTCATTCTTCATGATGGCTCCAGTGATATTTCCGCTGCCCCTGGAGAAAAGCGCTGTTGTTTGAGGAATCCGGCTAACGACACCAACGTAGCCCAGGCGGAGAGGGTACTTTTTATCGGAGAGAACGTTGTAACCACGCTCGGGGTCAACAAGGTCCATCTTCGTTATAACACCGATCGTCCGTTCTCCTCTAGGGTCAACCCTGCGGCTGGCTCTGAGAGCAGTGGAGTTGGCCAGGTCAACGTCTGCCGCGGAAATGGCGAGGATTACATTCGGTGCTTGGATGTACTTGTCGCAGAGATCGGAGATCTTCTGTTTCAACTCTGGGGGTTGGTCGTGTCCAGCAACTTGGATGTAGCCTGGAAGGTCGATGAGAGAGAGGTCAGGAACGTGAGGAGAGTAGATGGAAAGCTGGATAGGGTCATCGGAAACACAGTCCCTCTCTGGAACGGCCAAATTCAAATCCGTCAGAGTCCGCTGAATCTGAGAGAAGTCGGTGATTTTCCCTAACCCGAGAGCCGGAAACTCTCCATATTCAGCCTGCGCATTTGGTGTGTTGACCAGAGTCAGCTCGATCGGTCGCCGGGTGACCATGTTAGTGCCCTTCGGAAGGAATTCATGTCCGACAATAGCTTCCAGAACTGAGCTCTTGCCCGAAGACTGAGACCCAATAACCACAATTGATGGGAGCGTCAGGGTATTAGACTGGCCGACGGTCTGCAGTATGTTTCTGATCTCGATCATCTTCCGTGTAAGAAGCATCATCTGGTCATCTTCTGCAATCTTCCTTTCTGAACGGGTGTCCTCCTCATTAGACTCATCGTAACCGAAAGCTCCGGCAGTAGTAGCTCCAGCTGCCGCGGCACCGAGGCGGCTCTCCTTCGGACGTTTACCTCCAGGGCCACCATTGTCGGACTGCGACTCTTCGTTTGGGTTTATAAAATTCTGCAACCATTCCGGAAGTTCCACGGAATCCGTGGTTCTTTGCCATCCGCGTTGTGTCTGTTCGGCAATGCCCTGAATTTCCGTGAACAAGCTCGAAGCTGCATCTCCCGCCGTTTCCCCCGCACGTTTAAAAAGATCGATAGCGTAATTTCCTGCCTCTGAACGACGCAACCATTCATTAATCAGCTATCAGCAAAGACGGGTCGCGAATTGGATACGTACGTGTGGCTTGGTACTGGAAATAAGCTAGCCCCGCTACCGTAGCACCCCCAAGCATAGCCGGCAGCCGTATCAGCTTGATAGCCAGTTTAGGGAGTATCCGGTGAAAGGAGATTGCCCGCACAGCAGGCACATTATTGTGAATCGCATTCGCACCTACCGGCCAGGCCCGTCCACGTAGTGCGGCGCTGCCATCGGAGCGAAGAAGACCGCCGGTCCTGGCCGCAGCATTATGAACATGGCGGGCCAGAAGACCGGTCCGCAACAGCGGAACAAGACGATGGGAGAGAATTCTCCCGCTCATGATTTCTGAAATCACATACACATCAAGAGAGTTGGGAGAAGGAGGTTAGGCATTTCCGAGGCCAAAAGCCACGGTTGGTAGTACCTTCGGGATGGTAGGTAGCTTGCGGGAGGGAAGGAAAGCAAGAAGGAGGCGGCGGAGATGATCAACCAAACCACAAAATAATAAAGCAGTCAGTCATTCGATAATCGCGGCTTTCCCGCTGCGGGTCTCGTGACCTGCGCCCGATGGCCGCTTCGCTGGCCGTATCGGGATCGGTGTGAGTCACGTGTGGAGAATGTCGCCATTTCGATAGATCCAGATAACAACTATTTTCCGTAGGTCTGAGTGATTTCCGCTTCATTCGAGAGAGTCGAAGGTTCTGCAAGCTATTTGGACGCAGCAGATATATATATTGGGCTGGGTTTTGTGTTGCCCAATCCATCCTGGGCATTCAGCTGCGCCGTTGTCGGATCGAATTGTGACTGGAGACTGGAGCTGCGCCCTGAAGCAACTACTACTAGTTTTAGCGTCTTCAGCTGAATCGGGCTTTGCACTCTACAAACACTTTTAAAGAAGAAGAAGGTGTCCTCAGGGAAAGATTTCTGGACTGTATTTTTTTGTCAAGCTATACTCTCCGTATAATTGCCGAATATGTGTCGTCTCCTGGTATGTAAGCCCGTTCTGACCATCCACGTCATACAGCCAGCCTGAACTGACCGCTTGTCGCCAGGTATACAAAGGCAGGCATGAGATTCGTCTCAGCAAGCTAGTCACGGAGCCAAGCCATTCCATCCTCACCCAGTCCTACGACTCCCGTTTAAGACTAGTAAGTCCATCATCATCATCATCATCATCATCATCCTCTGTAGTGTTCAAGTAAAGGACCATACTGCCCGGGAACCGTCTTGCCCCCTATCCCAGACCAACAGCCAAAACTAACCCCATATACAGGACAACCGCCGCCCCGTCAACGGCGATGGCTTCGGTGTAGGCTTTTACACGGATCCCAAACTAGGTCCAGAGCCATGCATCTTCACATCGACGCTCCCAGCCTGGAATTGCGAGAACTTAGAGCGCCTAGCTTCTAAGACATGCTCGAATCTAATCTTCGCGCACGTGCGCGCAACCACAGAGGGAACCCTCTCCGACACGAACTGCCACCCTTTCCAGCATAGCACGCTGATGTGGATGCACAACGGCAACGTCGGCGGCTGGCAGTACATCAAGCGGCCGCTGGCCGACTCGCTCGCAGACAAATGGTTCCTCGGCGTCAAGGGTGGGACGGATAGCGAGTGGGCATTCGCGCTATTCCTTGACCTTCTCGAGAAAGAAGGTGTGGACCCTAGCTCTGATCCCGGCCCGGGAGGGTTCGGACAAGCGCTGCTGCGTCGGGTGATGGTGAAGACGATTGCCAAGATCAATGAGTTCATTCGCGACATTCCCAAGAGACATAATGTGTCGAATGTGGAGACTCGCAGTTTGCTGAACTTTGCTGTTACGGATGGGCAGACGGTTATTTGTACGAGGTATATCAGTAGTAAGACGGATGAACCGGCTAGTTTGTACTTTTCGTCCGGGACGAAATGGGTGGAGGGGAAGGACAAGGGACATTTCAAGATGGAGAGGCATGACAAGGGGGCTGATATCGTGCTTGTGGCTAGTGAGCCGATTACTTTTGAGAGACGTGAGTGTTTTGCAATGTTCCTACGGAAAAGAGAGACATATACTAACTGACTTGCTTTAAGACAACTGGGTCTCCGTCCCTGCTAACTCCATCGTCACCATCCACAAGCAAACCGTCCTGCTACATCCCATCATGGATGAGTTCTACGTCGAGGACCTGAACCAGGACCGCTCCTCCTGCTACGCCGTGTCCAAGGGCCTCGTTAGCACAGCCCCTGGGACAACAGTGCAGCCCCGTGATGCAGGGGCTGTTGACACCGATGCCGGTGCTATCCATGGCAATGGGTCTGCGATGGATTCGCAGCAAATCAATCTCGCAAACAAGTGCGCTTTATCACATTGATAGAACGATTTGACCGCTTCAACGCGTGCGACAGTGTTTAGACATGGGGAGTTACGGGCTTGGAGTTTGGGATCTGGGTGTTCTTTACATTTTCGGGCACATTATCAAACATCTTTTGTAATCGATCTACTACTTATTCAGCTCATTCTTCATCTGTATGCAATACTATTATTAGTACGGTCAGATTGCTCTTAACCTAACCGGTGAACTAGTATGAAACGTTGTCGATATCGAGACTCAAACTCCATCCCGACCCGCTAAGCCATATATACACAGAAATGAAATCAAATGGAAACAAAGGGGGTAAAAAAGTTAAAAAAAGAAGAGATGCGACCTGCACCTCCCCACCGAGGTCATGCAAAACAAGAAGATTCGTTGGAGAAAGAGAAGATATCATATGTCCTCCCCGGATATATTAGCATGCTTGAAATACTTCATCCCCACCCAAGCAACAACGACCCAAACCCACGACATAACGGCCGTCAACACAATCAATGCAGGATAATACCCCACAATGGGTAACGTAGGATCATCCTCCAGCTCTGGAGGAGCATATGGCGTCTCTCCGACGTCCCACGCCCAGCTCCAAACACCGAAGCAACTTCCCATTCCGACAACAAACACCAGCCACGTCACAATCAGTATTATCCACCCCCACCATTCTGTCTCCGAATAGTCCCATACCATCTCCGAGGTGCTGACAATATCGGCGGAGTGAGTTGCCAGGGGCGATTTGGCGCGGTGAAGTGGTCGATAGGCCGTCGAGTCGGCTTGTAAGGCATAGTATGAGTCGGAGCTGGACGAAGCGGTTGGGAGGTGGAGGCCAGTGGTGGTTGTTGCGGCGGCAGCGGCCGCGGCAGCAGCAGCGGCGATAGCGCTGTTTGATGTATTGGGGTGAGGGAAGGGTATGATATCTTCGTCGTCGGTGGTCATCTCATCGCCGAGGATGCTTTCTTTGGATTGATTTTGCTGACGATGCGAGGGAGCGGCTGTATTTCGGGTTCGCTGGGGTGCGTCCATAAGGGTCCACGTAGAAGTATTTCCTCCATGATCGGGGTGACTTGAACTGCTTCGCTGGGAAATGGTCTCATTATCGGGAGAGGTTAGATCGGTGAAGGAGCGTAATTGCGAATCGGAAGGAGGAAGAGGGGACGATGATGATCCTCCTGGTAGGGATGGTTGTCCGTCGGAATTGATATCGTCTCCACGCAGCAAGTCCACTGATGGCCTGGGGAGTTTCTTGTCTCGATATTCGAACCGGGTGCCCAGCAAGGCGGTCTTTCGTAGGGAGCCCCTTCTTCTGCGCGTTCTTCGGTGCTGTTGAATCGCATTCGACATTGCCCTTCCACCTCGCAAGCCGGAGCCGAAATCGCTGCTGTCGTCTCGCTCCATGCCCGAATGGCTTCGTTCTGGGGCGTTCTGGGTCGCTTGGATCATTCGAAGAAATGAGAGGCGCGAAAGTAATGAGCCGGACGAGCTGCGCTTGTGGCCGCTGCTTGCGCTCCCCGAGCGCACCCGCCTCGAGAGCTGATCATTGTTGTCCAGCGAGAGTGCCGCACCTTTGCCGTCGCTTGCATCTTCCATTGGCGCAAGCTGGGCGCGACTAGCTGGCGGTTAGCACGCCCACATCCAAAACAGGAGGTTGAAAGAGTCGTCAGGGCTTCTCATGAGCAGCGGCCAGGTCAGGGACGGGGGTGAAGGGGGGAAAAGGATAAGCAAGTGGTGGGTGGGCATCGGCGGCCAAGAAAGGGTCCAGGCGGCCACTCGAGAAATTCCCGGTCCCATTCTCCACCTCCCAACTCTATAAGGAGAGAGAATTTATCCGCAGCCACGGAGCGGCTGTGTTGGTATAAATAGAAATCGATGGGCCTCGACTTTGGCACGGTAGAAATACAGTACAATATTATCGTACTGATTCCCCCCTCTGACACATTAGCTACTTCTACTGAAATAATAGAGAAGATTTCTTTGCCTTTTACTTCAATAGTGGCCATGCACTAGTATCCTGGTATAAGGCATCCAAGAGCAAGCCTCTTGGGGTTCACTAACAAAATAGGTATAACATCCGAAACGCCAGTAGCAGGGTGTGATCAAGGAGATTGGAAGATCACGCTCAGAATATCTGGTATCACAAAGACGAGGCTCAAGTACGGGGGAAAAGCGTGAAAACCGCCAAACATCACACACTAATCGATAGGAGATCAATATTCATTTGTCAAGAATTGGCCAAAGAAACGGGAGGAACATGGCTTCTCGATCATTGGAATGAAAGAAAGAGTGCGCACAGCCATCTGAGCATCAGGGCTCCTGTGCGCAGGCAGAAACAGATATAGAGCTCTTTGGCAAGCCACTCATACATACTTAACGAAATACGATACAAACTGGGAGAGGTGATAATTTGGACAATAGAACAAAGACAGGGCTCGAGAATAGCATGATAACAGAAAATACTTTTGGTTTATTCCGCAGAACGCTTGAACGGGAAGCCCAAGAAGCTTAGTAGCCTTTGATCAAAGTCACGCACATTCGTTCAAAGAAAAGAGCATATGAAAAGTTTGACTCAACAAAGCGGATTTGGGGTATTGGGTGTACGATAACACACAAATTTCATTTCAAAAGGAAGAGTTTGAGAATGGGAGATGCGCTTAGAAATCCACTTAGTCGGGGCTGTCATAAAGAGAAGAAAGTGAAAATGAAAAGGAAAGGAAGAGAGAACGGCGAGTGAGAAGATTAAAAAAAAGGGGTGGAAGGGAAAAAAAAGAACACTTCCGCTTGTCGCTGTTGCGGCTGCCAGCAGCGATACTACAATGTCCGTGCTGGCTGGCATGCAGTCAGGATCGTTGATCAACGGCTACGCTTGGTAGCCGCCGAAACCATTTCCAAAGTTGGCGTTGTTGGGCTGGTTCCAGCCGGAAGTAGGCGTGGCTTGACCGCGGCCATAGCCAGCATTACCAGGGACCTGGCCATAACCTTGGCCTGCCATGCCGGACTGGTCCCAACCTCTTTGGGTCGGAGTAGGGCCTGTAGTTGAACACATTAGCGAAAAGGCGCAGAATCTTGACAATAGAAGAGAGGTACCTTGAGGAGTCATGGGAGCGCCCGGACCGCCGTACTGGGGAAAGTACGGGGCTGGGGTGGAATTAAACCCCGAGTTGCTCTGCTGACCAGAGAAGTTGTCGAACTGGCCGGTAGGAGGACGGTCCTTGCCCCACTGTGACAGTTAGCAAGGGAAACATTTTAGAAGAGGCATGGGGGAATGCTCAGAACATACGCTGCACTTGAGGGGACGACCATTGACGTTGTAGCCGTTCAACTGGCAAATGGCCATGGCGGCATTCTCATGCGTGTCCATTTTGATAAACGCGAATCCACGGTCGGCCTGCAGACGGGTCTCGATCACGTAGCCGAAGTTCTGGAAGAGTGGGACGAGATCGGTCTGCGTGGTGTAAGGGGTCAAGTTACCCACATAGCACGTGGTCTGCCACTGTGGGGTTTGCTGGACGACCATGTCGTAGCTCTGGATGCCGTGGGTAGGGAAATGGTGATGACCGAAGGCCGTGGTCGGCGTCATCCCCATGGCGGCCATGGCCTGCTGCTGGGAAATGGAAGGCTGACCCTTTTGGTTGGCCCAGTTGCAACGAATAGCGCGGGAGCCGAGCCATTCCCCATCCATAGAACTCAGAGCCTTGTCGGCGTCAGAGCGCTCGCGGAAAGCAACAAAGCCATAGCCACGGGACCGGCCAGTCTTCATATCCCACATAACACGAGCCTCGGATACCGAGCCAAAGGCCGAGAAAGCCTGGAGAAGCACCTCATCGTTGACTTCATTGCTCAGATCTCCGACGAAAATGTGGAAGTGGTTAGACGTATCCTCCTTGTTTGTGCTGTTAGACTGGTAGGCCCAGTTCACACGAATTTCCTGCAGAGATCGTCAGAAGCAGTCCGATATTATGCATATGTACGTGGGCTTGCATACCGACTGGTGGATGCGACGTCCGTTGAGCGTCTGCATGGCCCTCTCGGCGGCGCCCGGGTCGTCGAATTCGACGAAGCCGTAGTTGTATCCTTTACTGTTGAACTTCTGTAACAATTAGCATGAGGAGGGGAGTTATGCAAGATATGAGGTGCTCCGCAGCAGCTGCAGCAGCAAAGTAAAACTTACGTTCTTATCCGGAATGATCTTGACACTGACGACATGGCCAGTCGTTTCAAAGATTTGCTTCAAGATATCCTCAGTCACCCGAGGGTCGAGGCCACCGACATACAGAGCCCTCTTGTTTGGTTCAGGGGCAGCGCGGCGTACGAAACCACCAGCGCTGGTCGGGGACATCATGTTTCCGGACATGGGAGAGGTAATGGCGGTCGGGATGGGGTTGGTGTTCTGAGGAATCACCACAGGCGGGCGGGGAGGCGGCGGCATGTGGGAAGGATTAGCTTGACCATTGCCCTGAGACGCATCGTACTGCTGGTTGGGAGCAGCAGCAGAGGTTTGGGGGGGAGGAGGGAGGGTCGAAGAGGTAGAGGCGGCAACGTTGTCGGCCATTGTTGAGAGAGGTCACGAGATGCAAATTTACAGAAGAACCGATCGGGTCAAACGAGCACAAATTGCCAGATGGAAAAGGACGAAGAAAGCGTTTGACGGGACAGCAGGAGGATGAGATGCAATCTTTGATGACGGGACGATGCAGGCGTTACGCAGTCAAAATTAGAGTAGGCGAAGGCGGAAAACGACGCGGGGATCGAAACACCCAGGTCAAGATGGAAACTGGCAAAAGCGCTAAACTAGATCATACAATGGGGACCACGATACGGGCGGTAGCTAGAGCGGACGATCGCCGTCAAGAAAACGACGCTGGAATGCTTCGAGAGGCTGGGAAGATTGCACGGTGAGGTGCTGGAGAAGCGGGCGACTCAAAACACAACGGGAGGTTGTCGTTTTCTCAACCAGCCCCAACAAGTGAGCGAGGTGGCAGCAGCAGCAAAAGAGCTTCAGATTCGGGCAACCGAAGCCGGGACGGAGGTGTGTTTGAGGCAAACGCAACGGTGGAACAAGAAGACGGAGGGAAATAGAAAAAGAGCAAAGATGAAAGGAAAGGGAAAGAAAAACAAAGGGAAGAGAAAACAGATGCACACGGGCTCACGAGCTCGACAAACACCTGGATGAGGGAGGATGGAGAGAAGAATGGAGGGAAGAAGAAGAAGGAAATGGGGAAAGGAAACAGGGGAAGAAAAGCTGCGATGATCTGACTTGACGGGAAGTTTGACTGGAGAGCAGAACGAGGAGTTTGGATGGTCAAGAGCCGCTCCGGGTGGGGGGCGCGCTAGCCCCTCTTGCGTTAGTCCTCCCTTGACGGGCCTCGTCTTTGTCCCAGCAAAGGCGCTTATTCTCCATCATTTGCTTCTTCTTCTCCTCCTCCTCCTCCTCTTTCCCTTCCCTCCCGCCTGATCTGTTCACCTGCCCTCACGTTGGACAAGCTCTTGTCGCGTCCTTGCTATTTTTGTGTTCGCTGGCTTGCGCAGTCTTTGCGCGACTTCCCTGCGCTTCTTGCAATTCCTCCTCCCCCTTTCCCTAACTGCCTGTAACAGCTCTTCTGCTCCAATTGGTTTTCAGGTACTACCGTCAAAGAACCCGGCACCCGCTCTCACGGACCTTCTGAAACCGTCCATTCACATCTAACCGCGTACCACTGGCTCTCATCGCTTTTTGATACTGCTAGTGAAGGATCTTTCCTCATAAATTTCAGTGTCAATCACGACCAATCGGACAGTCGACGTGCCGTAAAAAACCCGCCTGTCTGTCACTATACTACCTTTATAGCCATGGCAGCAACAAATTTCTCAAATCCGGACTCGCTTGACGTTTTGACGTCAATGGTCAACCAAACGGTACTTCTTTGACCTAGTAGCCCCCTTGCCGTGCAAAAAGCCATGTTCTGACTAACTCCCAATAGCTTATAGAGACCGGCCGCTTTTTCAAAACCGGGGGTTCCATGCAGTCCAGGGCCCAACTCAAGCGTTCAATTCCCACTGCTCATGAAAAATTCCAGAGTGCACTGGATAATTTATCGGAGCAAATAGTAAGCTAGCAGCAGCTTCAAGATTTTGCGACCTGTGCTTACCATCGTCAGTTTATTGCCAAAGCTTTCCTTGAACGAGACTACGAGGCAGTCCAAGCCAAGAAAGCCGTCCTTCAGCCCGTTGAAGATGTTGTTATGAATGAATCGAACGTTAAAGTTGAATCAGAGTTGACATCACAGCCTTCTGAACAACCAGTGACCGACGCAGACACCGTCCAGCCTAAGACGGAGCCAGCTGACGATACTCTTGCTCCGAAGCCCCAGGCCGATGCAAATGCTAGCCAACCAAGCGATCAACCCGTCAAAGTAGAGAAGCCCGAGGAAGATGCCGCTGCTGTGCCTGCAGCACAACCCGTTGCTGCGTCAGGCGATTTCAACTTCGATTCCATGCTAGCCGATAATTCTGGGACTAACGATTTCGACCTGAACTTGGACTTTGGAGATGATGGCGTGGGAAATGACAGTTTCTTGTCAGGCTCTAATCTAGCTAATGCCACCAGCACTACCAACAATGGCAACGGGGGTGAACCCAATCAGTCAAGCAATGCTCCAACGGCTTTGCCTGGTACTGAGAACACCCCCGTTCCCGCACCGATGGGAGGGGATGCATTCGACCTTGAACTACAAAAAGCCGAAGCATTCACTAGCCAGGGGGATAACTCAGGGGAGCAGCCGTTTGATGGACAAGGTGGCAGTAACATGGAAGATGTCATGGCACCAGGAGAATCTAGCTTCGACGATCTATTTATGGAAAACGATAATTTCGGGGGGGATGGAGCTGGAGACGCTAGCTTACTAGATGGGGATGGGTTGGTCAACATCAACGACCTGGATGACAGCTGGTTCACTTGATATCCTCCGCATGAACGTTGCTGGAGAGATGGATCAGCCACCTTCGCACGGATAGACAAAAAGCAAACAGCTATATGCTAGTCGGGCGATAACATTCCAAGTGGGATGACGAATGTCTAGAACCATAACATCATCAATGAAGGCGACTGCTTCCTTCTACAATGCAACTTCAGTGTCATCCTCCATCACTGATGAGACACACCTCTAGAGTGGTCAATGCAGTCAATCCGATGCCTCGCCGGAGGGAGCATTCCCATTTCTACGATTACCGAGCCGCCAATCGGCAGATCAGACGATCCACTCTGTAAGGGGGATGGGGATCGGTACCTACCTGGCAACGGAATGACGCAAGGCACTCCGAAAGTGGAGGAATGTACGGACCGGGGCACGGCGGAGCTTATCTCAGTCGGCAAACTGACGTGAAGGCGTTTTCAACTTTAAGCCCGATTAGCTCTTCTGTGTGCAAGTGTTCGTCCGGCTTGGCTTCATTGCAGCTAAGCTGTTTCCTGCTAGTTCGGCCTCGGGATAACTACTGACTGGGTCCTACGAGGGGGGTACAGTCCCAATAGTTTGGCACGGCAATGATTCTCGTTACACAGATAGTATGGGGTTCGTGTCTGGCCCAACTTTAGCCCCAAAACGACATGAATTAATCGGCTACTTTCCTGAGATTTTCAGAACAGAAGACAACGATCTACATTATGATGCTGCCTATGGGTAAATAGTAGTCCGTATGTACAAGTAAACACAGAGGAATATGCTGAAGTCAACGTAAAGTCAGGGTTACCCTGTGATGATGTCATCCATGTGATAATGGACTTGTGTGGAGAACATCATGGGAAGCCGGTGTTGATGATCGAGATCGTCTCCAGACTGTCAGAGTGTGGTAAGCTGAAGGCCCGGAAGGTTTCGCGCTGACTAAGAGCAGGTGAAATTGTCCGGACTTATCCACTAACTCATAGTAACCTTGATTAACGGTGTGGGCTGACATGTCGATTGAGGCTAACAAAGCCTTCCGAAGAATCTGCAAAATTCTGCGGTATATCCGTGCCTTGCCGGTCTAAGCGATTGACTACTTGGAACAATAGATATTGCAAGGCATTGATCCGGACAAGACTCGGAACTACAGGTGGCGGCGGCCATAAACGAGGGTGACGGCGAAGGCGACTGTGGAACCGTTCCCGGGATCAGGCCATGGATCTAGAATTAAACTTCTGCATCCAATTCTTCAAGTCGGAACGAGAAGTCGGGAGTGGTTTTTGGCGACCCGACGGAAGCCTGAGGGGAAAGTTGTTTTGTGATCGTACTGAATTGTGAGGCGATAGGGGAAGAAATCCACCAGATGGAAGAGGGGAGAAAAAGGTATGCCCCATTCCCCAGGCAAGGCCAGGTCAGCCGGGAAAGGCACACCAAGCCTCAAACTACCCAGAGATTAGTCAAAATCCTTCCCGTTCGCGCCCCGATGATATCACCAGCACGGCCAAGGATCCCCGCATTGACAACGAAACGCGGCAGCCTCGCAGGAAGCTCTGGGATTGTCACGAACTGTGTCCCGGTGGATCTGACCGCCTCATATCCCGGTCTTTTTTACTGGGAGTTAGATTTTCAAACTTGACTTCTGGAGATGGAGGGGTGTGTATGTATGAAGTCAAGGGAACAACCGGCTATCATCCTGATGATCCTGAACGAAAGGATAGACAATCTTATGACCGAACTTGCTTGGTCTCCAGGCTGTGCCGGAATACCCGCCCTCTAAAGCCTCAGAGTGCGTTAATTCGGCCCCCGGGCACAGCAGATCAGACGTCACTCTTTTCAGTCATGGCCGAGGCCTGGGCCCCCCTCTTTTCACGCTAACGATTCAGCTAGAGGGACAAAGTACCATCGAAGATATCTTTAGTCTAGGGTGTTCTTTTCCCTCGTACCTGGACGCGAACCGCACCACTGCCCCGTTTTCTATCACATGGAAAAGATGGGGGAGGGAAGGTAGCGAGACATACCGTAACCACACCATCAGTTCAAGACTACTACACAGAAAGTGCACTTGAGGAGAATAATATCCAGTAGCAAACATGTGCTAGGATTCGGTTCACACATCGTAAATCAGTATCGGGTCTGACGGACTGACAAAGCGGATTGAGGCCAGACCTCCATTGTAGATAACCGGAGTGGAATAGCTCGAGTAGTAGTTTACCAACGCTGGTGGTCCCCTTTCCATGGCGCCCATGTTCGTGCGGAAAGTCTGACCGCGGGTGGAAAAAGATTCAAGGACAGTCGGTCCCAGGTGGTTCAGCGAGGAGAATCGCATTCATTGGAGAGAATCGAAGGCAACTTGCGGATCACCGGATATGACTGAACCTACCGACTTTCCCCCTCCATCCGCGTCATCATCTCTTCTTGTCCTGCTCCAGCCTGGTTCAAGTAGTAGTCCTTTTCCCTTTTGTCCCCCCGCCTTGTCTTGCATTTAAGTATCTTGTGCCCAAGGAACTATATCCGCACCGCCTCATTCTTGTCCGTGTCTGTGTTGTCATTGATGTCAATGCTGCCCTTTCGCATGACATTCCCCCCCAGTCGATGATTGACTCTCTCTTTTTTCGCCCCAACTAGATACTTACTGCTCCTCACACGCCCTACCCCCCCAGACATATCCCATTTGGGTCATTCGGTGTTTTGGCTTTCCCCCCGCATCATCGACCAATCTGGCCTGCTTGACGCTACTGAAAACGGGGATCCCTTCCTTCGCGTTGAACGCTTGAATACTAGGGACTTTACTTTTCTGCTGCGCCGCGGTGGACGTGCTGCTCCTTGCGCCGTCGATCATCTCCCAAACTCAGAAAAGATCCCAACCCCAAAAGAGGCAAAGCAGGAAAAAATAAAAAATAAATAAAAATTGATCTTAGGGAAAAGAAAAAGGAAAAGGGAAAAAAGGAAAGAACGCTACGAAATTAAGGACAGGAAACTGTGACGCCGTCCCAAGGAAAATTCCACTGGTCGCACGACTCGCTGCAGCTGGGACTGTGCGTAAGAGTCAACCTGAACTGAATATACTTCCCCAAGCCCAGTCTTCTACTTTCTCCATTTCGGTAAGTCGTCGATTCATCCCAAAACGTGCTTGCTTCTTTACTGCTTTACTTTTTTCTAATTTTCCCTTTTCCCTTCCTTTTACCCTTTGGCCCTGCTGCATTCCTTTCTTCCCTTCCTCTTTTTTTTTTCTTTCTATCCTTCTCCTTTCTTCTATCTTCCGTTATTACTCTTCATCTTCTACCTTGCTTCTCCCTTGGTGACATCCCTCGCAATCCCGTGTAATCTCTCCCCTCTATACATCAGCATACTACATCCATCTTGGGTGCCTCACCTGCGCCTCTCTATATCCGTCTTACCCGTGGTTGAAAATCAGCCTATCCGGACATCCGGCAGTCATCTTTTGTCTTTCCTCTTTTTCCCTTAGGGTCTTCATTGCGTCTGGCAAATAATGCTCTGCGATTGGTGCTTTTCACGATGACGACTCACATCTCCCATCTTGAACAGGATTTATCCGGTTCCGTGACCACTACAACTAGTGCCGTCTCCCACCTTTCCTGTGGCGCCCCCGATTCTGTGCCAATTTTTCACAGTCTCTTGAGGTTTCGTTCCGATCATCGTCGGTCTTTAGAAACTTCGAGTGTAGTTGGCGACTCTGTTGCGATCGAGCAAGTTCCACGGCCAGGCCATCGGCGGCGAGCGTCCATACTTAGCAAGCTGGCGGGTCCGCGGGAAAACGCAAAGCGATTCCTCCGCCTGGGGACCCCTATCCACCCGACTACTACCCTGACGCCACCCACTCCCTCAATGCCCGAAACACATCGCCCTCGTCCGGTGTCTGAGATCTTTCTGTCCCCCGATGATGCACAAATGCTTTCCAGCACGGGTTTGAGGACGGGCAGGCTGCGCTCCCACTCTTCGTCGACTGTGTCGGCGTCTCAGCCTTCCCCGATTTCGGCTCAACCGGCAATCCCGGCGGCGGATCCATCGGTGCCGTTTCCCACACTGCGCAATGAGAAGATCGTGGCGACCGGCAGTGGGATAACTGTTGGTGTTGCGCTCACCGAACCCGTTCTGTTTCTTCAGGGATATGATCATAATGATCCCAGCACTAAAAAGTCCGCCATCTTGCGCGGGCAACTGCATCTCAAAATCACCAAGAGTGTCAAGGTCAAGAAGATCTCCATTTGTTTCCGCGGACATGCTCAGACCGATTGGCCGGATGGTATGCACCCACCCATTGTTCTTCCTCCAGGTGGCGTCATCACTAACGCTTTGTCTCATGTAGGAATTCCGCCCAAGAAAGTCCACTTCCACGACAAGAAAGACCTCGTCACACATGGCGTCATGTACTTCAACCATGGAGATACTGCGCTAATGCAGAACGACTACGGTGCGCACTTCTACCAGCACGCCAAACCGGTGACGTCGGTGACGGGCAAGGATGGGCCGACCACCAGCACTCGGGAGTTGCTCTCAAAGACCGGCTCGGCGACCTCGTTGGGCCAGAACGGCCAGCTCACGACCAAGGATCTGAAGCGACTGTCTTTGCAGTCCAATCATTCGCGCAGTTTCGGCAAGAATGACGCCCCGCCGCCCCCGGTTCACACTCAAAGCAACTACCGGTTGTTCCCTGTCGGTGATTATCTGTATAGCTTCGAGTTTCCCATCGATGGATCTCTCCCAGAGACGATCAAGACCGATCTGGGGTCTGTTCGCTACGATATCGAAGCGATCGTGGAACGGGCGGGTGCGTTCCGCCCCAACCTGCTGGGTACATTGGAAGTGCCGGTCATCCGCACGCCGGCAGAGGGCTCGTTGGAGCAGGTCGAGCCGATCGCCATCTCGCGAAACTGGGAAGACCAACTGCATTATGACATTGTCATCTCGGGAAAGTCATTCCCTCTTGGATCGCAGGTTCCCATTGCGTTCAAATTGACGCCGTTGGCGAAGGTCGAGTGCCACCGCATCAAGGTGTATGTGACCGAAAACATTCAGCACTGGACTGCAGACAAGAGCGTCCATCGGTTCCAGCCAGCGAAGAAGGTGCTGCTTTTCGAGAAACGGGCGGATTCGGCCAGTACCAGTACCTATCCAGGAAGCTCAATGCGAGTGATGGCAGGTGGTGGTATCGACTGGGACCGTCGCGCGGCTGCTGCGAGAGGTGAAGAGATTGTCGATCGGAACCGCACCAACCTCCTTGGAAACCTCTCCAGCGACGCGGGGGTTGGCCCGACTGAGATGGAGTTCAACGTTCAGCTTCCCAGTTGCCAGGAGATGCGCAACCGGGATGAGTCCCAGCGACTGCATTTTGACACCACGTATGAAAACATCCAAATCAACCATTGGATCAAGGTATGTCCTCATCCTTAGCATTCGAATCGCTCGATATTAACGTGGAATAGATTGTACTGCGGCTGTCCAAGGTTGACGAAAGAGATTCGGGTAAGCGAAGACACTTCGAGATCTCGATCGACTCTCCATTCCACCTGCTTTCTTGCAAGGCTACACAAGCGAATATCTACCTACCTGCATACACCTCGCCTGACTCGGAGCCGCAGCCGCAGGCTCAGGAGTATGAATGTGGTTGTCCGGGGGCGCCGCCCGTCAACAGGAATGGCTCTCGGAACGGCTCCAGCCGGCAGTCACTGTCTTCTGACCGGGACGAGGTGCCACTCGGCGGCGCAGTTGCGAGAAGCTTCACCAATGGTTCCGGCGGACTGGCTCGACCTCCCCAGGCGCACTTGGCGGATGAGCCAACCGATCGAAATCCTGCGCCGCGACCGATGCATCTTCTGCGGGCGCCATCATTTGCACCGCCCGCCTTTGAGGAAGTCCCGCCACCACCTCCACTCGTGACGCCTCCCCCGGAGTATAACACCATTGTTGGGGATAACGACAGAGAATCGGTGCTGCAGGACTACTTCTCACGGCTATCCTTTTACGAGGAACATGCCGATGATGATCGGGGCCGCGGACGAGTTGATGTGCCTCTGACGCCAGGAGGGCGTGTGAACCGCAGCATGGACGTCCCACGCGAGTGGGTGCGTCTGGAGGAGTCGGCCGTCTAAGACTGACGAGCCGCATTTACGACGCTTATGAGGATTGTACTTTTGTTTTAGAGGACGGTGGGAGTTTGTGATACAACCGGCGTTTGATCCTTTCGGAGCAACGTAGGCTGGCCTCCTATCTGATTTATCTGGTCTTGATTGGATATGGCGCCCGAGGAACAGGGATGTATTTGTGGCATTGTTTGAGCGATCTTCCTCGTTCCTCGTACTATATACATACTGTTTATATTATGTTTAGATACCAGCTGTAGCAGATACAGCAGATGCATGGATTAAGTTATACTTTCACTTCACTATTGGATTGATTCCCCTCCCTTGCGTAAAGTATAGTTCAATAACTCCTACCCATTGAAGCCAAATCAAACCTAGAGTGCAACAGCGGTGAATGCACCGAAGCAAGTGAGCAGTAGAAAAGTAGATAGTTATAGAGAGTAAATATTGAACCCGCCCGTGGTGGCGCACCGCCCGCATAGAGCTGCCTCTTTCGGCCAATCGTGCGCTTATCCACTTCAAAGTATTTAAATTTGATTGACGCCATCATCACCTGCATTTATTGATCTGTACCACCACCTCGTGCTATTCCTTCTATTTCTCCCCATTCGACGACTAGAACACATCATATATAATTTCATATCAGCCACGTTCTAGTCCACACCGCTTTCGACTGAAACTTCCCATCACCAGCGGGTTGAAGTTGTGACTGGTCATTAGCACAAAAGGGTTAGAGTTGCAGTGAGTACTACCATCGACAACTATAAGTATATAGTTACCTAACAATTGAAAGGAAAATACGAGAGAAAGAAGAACAGAGCAGAATGCCCATCAAAGTAACAGACCTCACCGAGGCAGATATCCCCGCCGCCATTGAGATCATTCAGACGGCATTTGCGGAAGATCCGTATTTCAAGTGGGTGTTTGATGCTGAGAATGTAAGTCACTCACAGATAAACATACCCGAACGAGGTAGATTCTGAGCGTGTAGATGATGATAAATATAATTGCACCATGCTAACCAACTCTTCAACTTTCCCATCAACGCGGTCGGTTGGTATCTCCCCAACCGACCGGTATGGGAATTACTTTCCATCTAAATGATATAGTTCAACAAACAACGGAATCACGATTCATTAGCCGTCCGATGTCGCTGGGGAATTAACAATGCCATTTTCCAGGTTGCCAAAGACACCAGCACCACCACAGAAGCAGGAAAAGAAGGGGATGAGAGAGTAGTCGGCGTCTCTTGCTGGCTCCCACCCCAACCCCCTCACACGCCTGAAACCTGGTACAGCTGGACGCAAAGCTGGCTACTCAGCTGGCGGCAGATGCTCAACAACGTGTGGCATTTCGGCCGGGGCGGACTGCGCACGAACCGGTACTGGATCTGGAAGGAGCGGCAGCATGAAGCGCAAAGCCAGATCTGGGATGATCCGAAAGGATACTATTTCTGCAATATAGTGGCAGTCCGCCCCGATTGTCAGGGCTTGGGGGTAGGGAGGAAGCTTTTCGAAGCGGTGACGGATCGGGCGGATCAAGAGGGCGTGAAGTGTTATTTGGAGAGTTCGAGGAATGTGCCCAATGTGCAGATCTATGAGAAGATGGGGTTTGAGATGAGGAAAGAGATGGAGTGTAGGGATGGGGGGGATGTTTGTATGGTGAGTAGCTTTCTTCTATCTATCTATATGGTAGTTTCTGTGGAAGGGGAGGAGGAGAAGGGAGGTGGTGGGTGAAACGGGGGTGTTGCATCAGATGGCTAACTTGCGGCAGCTCTATTGTATGGTTCGTGAACCAAAGTCTAAGTCGGAACAGTGAGGGGCGTTCGATCGATTCTAGAAACTGGATGGTTGGATGTACTTTGTAGCAGGTTTGTTTGAGGAGACAACAATGATACAACGGATATTGAAATAGATTCTATGAGTAGGCTATTCAATGATTAGATAGATTAGATATATCATTGGTCAGTTGATTGGAAAGCACGGACCAGTATTACTCCTCCCACTGAAGGTAGCAGCATCCCTTGACTGCATTCATTGCCTTACTTTATCCGGGTACCTCAAATGGAAGGCTAGCAATCATCACTCCCTCATTATCAATCTACCACAACCCTCACCATGGACAACTCAACCCAAAAAACCCGCCAACGCATCCTTCACCAAATCGGCGTAATCTTTTCTAATCTCCCCCCAGAAATCACCTCAAGCACAATCCGAATCCTCGGCGACATCCCAAACAGTATCCTAAACCCTAGCAATTACCTAGAATCCATACATCCCTTCATCTCAGCCACCGAGGAATCCCTCAAGAATGTTCACCTTTCACCCAAACAACAAGACTTTTTCATCGCCGCTAAAATCTACCGTGGGAAGCATTCCTACTTAATACTCGGCCTCAACAATAGCAATTACAACTATGGCACTGCCCATGAATGCAAGGCATTAATCCCTGTTTATGTCCTCCGCTTATCGGAAAGACAACCCACCATCTTTCGAAAACAGTTGTTGGATGAATCCATCGCGAAGACTTTTAGGAACATGTATAATTCCCATGGTCAGGACCCGCTAACTTTGTTTGATAATCATTATGATGAGAATATGCAATATCCGAATCCGCGCAGGCCGGAATGGGAGTTTTGAGTTGGGTTGGTTTGTGATCTTCTTCTAGGGAACCTTTAATGTGAATAGAGAATGGTGTTGTCTCATGCAGCTGTGTTGATGCCGGCATCAGACAGTTGCGAACTGTATCTTTTCACCCAGTATATGCAGTCCAGTGGGGAGTAGTCAAACTGACACCCTAAGGCATCCAGCCATATGCAGGATAGGAAGAAAGCCAAGGCCACGCATAACCATGGCACAATCACTCCGTACTGCGTTTGTAGCAGGTTTGTTTGAGCACATGGTGCGGCAGTGTGAGACGAACACCCAACACTTCGACGAGATCCAGTAGCAGTATTTATGCCTCGGAACCCAGCTAGCTTTGTGTCAAAAGGCAACGAATGTAGGCATGTGGCTGGATTTTCAGCAGACTTTAAAAATGGAAACCCCGATATTGAGTGGACCATCAATGGGCCATTGAGAATTGATCATCTATATTGACCACGAGTCTATCATCTCCTCCTTGCAGTCCATATTCGGGTTTCTGCAGAAAGCAACAGCCCCTTATTTCCCTTCCTGGCCAAGACCCGGGGAAAAGGATCCACGGGTGGGGGATCCACTTGGTGATTCCCATTCTTCGTATGCTGTAACACAGTGCGCCCGTTGCCAAGTCTGTGTCTTCTTTGTTTGATGTATATATTTTGAGAGGAGATGTATTAAGAGGATACTAGTATAAGTATCTATATTTTTTCAATAGTAATATTTCATATATATATCTGTATAATTATTGTAGAAGCACAGATAGAGAGATAAGTATGTGGATAACATCCGAGTCAGAACCCAATGATCCGCCGTTTCATAAACTACCGACTAGCCCAGTCGATCATCCAGGCCGGACAACAAAGTAAACCATCTGAACTCACTAACTACTGTGGTAAAGTTTCTAGGACTCGATAATGGAACCGCCTAGACCAACCCCCCTCTTCCCTCCGTCAGGGGGTTGGTTCAACGTTCAACGTAGACAAGTTCGTTCCCAAGCCGGTGTCTCGACTTGATTGCCCGTCAACTAGCTAGTGAGACTAATTAGGGTTGAATAATAAGCCGGGACGAGAATGCCGAAGATACTACCCTTTTTTCCTTCATCCTGGTTTCAGGAGAAAAGTATCTTCTACTTGTTTATACCAAGAATTAGACTAGACTAGTAGACTTAGAGGTGACCCTTTTTGTTGGTACTTTAGGGTGGGGGTGGATATATCAACTACTTTTTTCTTTCTTCTTCTTTTTTTCTTTCCCTTCGATTTGTTCCTGATTCGATTCTGTGCGCAGCTGGTCTGTGATATGATATGATTACAATTATCATCTCTTTCTCTCGTTAATTTGTTCCAAAACTACGGAGTACAATAATATTAACATTAATCAACTATAACAAATGTCGACATCTTCCAACAACCATGATGTTGTCTACCACGTCCATGAATATGACCCTCGCAGCGACTCCACACCAACAGCGACAGAACTCACCATCCAGGCGAGGGTAGGTCTAGCTCTTGGTATCTTAGGTATGAACCATCTGTAACCTCCACCCTATTGCCATCAACCTATCCTAACAACATTAATATTATTAATAATAATAGGAGCAATAATGCTCACCATAATCCTCACAACCCTCATCGTCCTCCGAATACAGCGCGGTCCAAGCATCACTCTCCGGACACTCTTTTCTCGAAAGCCCATTCCACCGAGGGAAGGAGACAGGGGGCGGCTATCATTATCGCCGTCCTCGAATATTCCTCCTTCATCAGATGAAGAATCTCAGCCACCGCCGGCATACACCAACACCCACCCGTTGTCAGAACCGATACCGGGACCAAAAGCAGATAGTATCGCCCAACCACAACAAGCACATCTACCCCCCTCCCTTCGAAAAGAACTCAATCTCCACATCGATACAAGCCATACACCTGCTATTGCTGCTACTGCTACGAAACCTAAACCAACACCCCTCAGGACAATGTCTGATACAGCGATCCTTAGATCATCATCATCTGAGAAGGATAAAGAGGCGCGTTCGACGTTAGAGGTGCAGATCCACCACCACCACCCGTATTACAATCGACTGAGAACGGGGAGCCCTAGGTCACCTGCAGGCAGCGGTAGTGGCAATCGATCAGACAGATTGTGTCCGCCGGACGAGTATGCAGTCCCGCCGGATAGTCCCGACGTGATTGTTTTGCCGTCGCCGAGGGAGTTGCAGAAGTTTAGGATTAATGTTTATCGATAGGATTATATGTTTAGTATGGCATGATGGGGATGGTTTTGGTGTGTTGGATTATTGGGTTGTGACTTGGGCTATGTATATAGTATTCATGTATGTTGATAATGATAATGATGATGAGTACTCATGGGATTTTCATCTGTGGTCTATGGTGTTTGGTGATGGAAGTAGGGATCGATATTGCTCAGTGTCATGGCTTAGTATATCAGCTCTGAAGTGACTGTCACTGACTCAGTTAGTAGTCTTATATCGAGAGCCAAAGTAGTATACTGGATACGTTCCGGTGTTTTGTTTCTTTCAACTACTAGTCTCCAGTCGGTTTGATGATTTCTGTAGAAAACTAGTAAGTAGTAGATCCGTGAGATACCATAATCTAGTCAAGTCATAGTATTCTCAGCACCCCGAACATGAAGTCACACGACGTTTGAGCTGAATATCAATAAAGAGCTAGCCTCAATTGAAATATCACAGATATAAAAGAGCAACAATGAATATCATACGTGTACCTGAAAGGTCCATTCAATGACTTACCATCTCTAATCTTCCCAGACACAATCAAAAAGTCATACAGAGGACATTCTACCCCCCTTTAATTAATTACAATGAATAAGAATCAGGAGAGTAGAGCAGCAGACTAGTACTACATCCTACATATAACATATATGGGTATAGTGGATAGTATTGATTCCCTGTGTGTTGTGTTGGCTTGGCCTGAAACTGCGTAACATTTATACTTTATTCCAGCGGCTATGAAGATCACTCCTCATAATGAATACGGTAGCTAGATCATTGGACAAATTTCCCAACAGCTGACTAGGAGCGGGTATTTAGATTAAGCGTGTACCAATCAGGGATTGGAGATGGGGTGGTCATTCATTGAGAGGTTACACAGGAAGATATCGAGTTAGTGGGTAGTGTTGGATCATCCATGTATGCTATGTTTCAGATTATTCATTGCTACTCACTTTTATGAAGTTTATATTGGCTTGTGAAATGGACTATAAGGGGTATGCTATCGAATAGGCTTGGGTTGTAGTATTCCTATAAGCAGTAATATGTTAGACCTTGCCAAGCTGCGAGCAAGGTCTTGTCTAGTCTGCCTTGACATGACCGACAACTTGAAGGAAAGCGGGTGAACAACCCAGCCAGGCTCTGACTATTCCTACATGCACGACTACCCTCCCACAAGCGGATATATAACTTCAAGTCACTTCCCTATATCAGACATTATTGACTGGTATGCCGCCGGATGGGAGATTCAGGACCACGATAGTTGTAACAGTGATAGTCTAGTCCATGTCTGTGAAGCTGCGTATGTTTCTTTCACCGTGAACAGCATGCACGTGGCGCCATGTGGGGATGCACGTCTAGAGCATCGCGCCGTCTGGTGCGTGAATACTATCATGTCCAGCTTTATAAATGGGGCTGGTGCTCTAAATTATTTTCTTTTGTTTCTCCTCTTCTCACTCATGCACAGTTGTGATTTTCTGTCTTTATCGTTGACTCTGATCACTGAAACTTCTTCAAGATATCCTGTCTGCACGTCATCATGTTCATACTCATTCTCTTCCTCGCCCTACTGGCCCAGGGTCTTACCATTCCCCGCTCACCCACGGGCAACATCTGGCAGCCCAGAGTAGGCGCTTCATGGGACATTGTTCTCTCAACCAACGTGCCCCGTCCTGATCCCACCACTGAAATCTATGACATCGACATGTGGAGCAGCGAGCCCAGTACCGTCGATGCCCTCCACAGACAAAACCACAAAGTGATCTGCTACTTTTCTGCCGGAAGCTACGAGCCGCACAAAAAGGACAGTGCCTCGTTTCCAGAAGAAGCGCTGGGCAATCCCCTCCATGACTGGCCGTCGGAGAGATGGCTGGATGTTCGCCATCCTCAAGTGCGCCGGATCATGGCAGCCCGATTGGACCGAGCACAGAAACTGGGCTGTGATGGTGTTGATCCAGATAATGTTGATGGCTACGGGAACGATAACGGGTTTGGCCTGAAGAAACAGGATTCAGTGAACTATATCAATTGGTTGGCTGGAGAGGCGCATAGTCGCGGCTTGGCTATAGGGCTGAAGAACGCAGGGGACGTCATTCCTGAGGTTCTTGCGAACGTGCAGTGGAGTGTCAATGAAGAGTGTGCGAATAGAAACGAGTGCGATCTGTATGCTTCTATTGCAAGGGCCGGGAAGCCGATTTTTCACATCGAATACCCGAAAGGTAGTGACAGGAATGACAATGAAGATGTCGATCCGGAGGAGAAGAGACGGCACTGCGAATTCTCCAATTCGGGACTGTTTTCAACGGTTCTGAAGAACATCATCCTGGATCGTTGGGTTCAACGGTGTAACTGATACTGTTGTCTGCCATCTTTCGGTGTATTGTGATTTGTTTTCATACCAGCTGAGCTGGGTTGTATTTATGCTGTGCATCCTATCCTCTGTATATGAGGTGCTTAGGAGTTTGCCACCAACAATCTGATATTGTCTGAACCGAAACTTGCATGCTTAGCGGTATGATGTTTACCGCTCTGGAGTAAACATATCATTCGGGTGCCTTGATGGATTAGGTTGATTGCTCCTATTTCGAAGCAGACACCGTATTCTAGTTGTAACAAGATCTTCAGTATCAACACAGCAGTAGCTCATATCTGCCGTCAATACCATGCACAGCATAATACCCTGCAAACCGACTACCTTCTCGTAGAGCCTGGCATTCGTGATGCAATTGGCTCGGCGATACATGCTATAGGCGATCTCCGAACACTATAATGCTTGACGAACATCACATGGATCTGCTGCGACCGTAAATTAATCCTGGTGACTAAGTTTTTTCACGTGCTGTAGAATTGGCAGCCGTTATCATCTAACGCCACCGTTGGAAATGGTATGAGCTCCTTATCTCGCGCACGGCCCTGCAGCTTAGTATGCCGGAACGAACTAAATAGGGTCCAGAACATCTGCTGAGTAGTAAGCGGGATTCAGAAAAGCGGCAGCCTAGAAGAATTATATTTCAGTAATAGCAACCACCGCCACCAAGGTCTTTGATAGCAGTGCGTCGAATCAAGAATTTTCCGATGTAGTCTGCTAGTCATCCGCCAGATACTGACCGTCCTGCACTCAAGACACGCAAAGAGCATGATGTGGCTAGGGTCATAGCACCCCCGCACTAACAAACAAGGAAGAGGCCGTGCATGCTACGCATGTAGGTGTCATGTTGGCGCTAGCTGTTCCAAATGACCTGGCTACCGCGGCTAGCCTAGCCCATGCTAAACTGCCACTCATGTTCGACATTGCTGCAGATACGAACAGACGTGCTGGATTTAGGGCGACACAGTAGGCCCTGCTTCAGTGCTATCGCTGCATAGCGTACTGCTGGAGACTAGAATGGAGCTCGGGCCTGACTTGCCAAGTCGATGCTTAGCGAGGTGTGCTTGACACATGCTGGCAGATGCAGCTACCCCCGCCCCAACTGACATGGGGAGATAGCATGGAGACCTGGTTGCATGAGCAGGCAAAGAAAGTACTGCTCAAGCACAACCTGGGTCTAAGCGCATTAGACGCATGACAGACTTATGGACGAATTGTATCGAAGAAGGTCGCAGATCTGTGGGTGTTTCATCGCGTAAGATAGACCTGTAGGCAAGATCTGCATCAGCTGTATTCTTCAGTAAGTATCAGTAAGTGAGATGAGCCGTTTGTCCGATAATTTACTCCATACTGATCATCATCCAAAGAGGTCCTCGCACACTCACACTGGTGGGATGTTTACACCTAGTGGTCTGGCTGGTTGACAAACTTACCTTCACTGTCTTTCACATGCCATTATGCCTCGTAGACTGCGTGAAGGATTTTTAATGCAATGGACACCTATCTTAGAAGAACGCTCTCAGACCACCTGCTGGTTCTGAATCGCCAAACTTTCCAGGCTAGCCATAACAGACGTAAAGGCAAGATAGCTTCGAGCAGTCGAAATTTGACGGCTAGAATGCTTCCTGAACTGTAACCTTGACGACCCAGTTGATGAAACTGTTGTCGGAACGGACTGGAAGGATCGGGCTGCATGCGAAGGATGAGTAGAAGAGATGTAGCCGTGAAGTAGTCAGTCATCCCAGATCAGCTGACGCCAGTTCTTCAAGCCAGATGTTGTGTGCTCTTTGACGACATATTGGGTGAGTCCCCTCCAGTAGCCCACTCAGACTATACTTCTGCACCTATGGCACATAGTGAGAAGAAGACAGGCAACATGCCTCTATATTTGATTGCGTGGTGCTAAGTGCTGATCTGACCAAACCTGAAACTTCATGACGGATCTACATATCGCTAGTCTCACTGTAGTGAACACTATAGTGGATACTACACAAACATAGGACCGAGAACTCCGAGCCATCCCTGCCATCTTATTGCTATGTTTCAGCTACTCAAGATCCACCCTTCACAGCCACCGATAGTCCGGATGAGTATATATCCACCTTATCCTACCTAAATATCCTACCCAGACTTTACCTGATACTATACCCGGCTGCTTGACGCCAACGGTCGCAGATCCCCCTGAATGACCCAATTGCCGTTAAGCCACTACTCATTGTTTGTTACGCCAGGAAGCTTGACTTCGGTAATGCACTCGGCAGTCAGCTATGGATAAGCGTTGGCCCAATCACCTGTCATGATACCTAGCATGACCGTTGTGGCGCATCGACAAGCTTTAGAAGCAGCTCACTCGTGACGAGAGATCGCAATAGGACAAGCATGGAAACTTCCACGCACGTCATAGACGCAGTCCTGGCCTCAAGCAAGGGATGTAGAAGTCCGTCATATGTTCCCTGTAGTCAATGTCTTTATGCATGCCAAGTATCTCCGAAGCTACTTACTGGCTGTTCCCTTTCAGTGTCCCGGATAGATGGAAGGTCTTCCCTATCGGCCTGGTTGAGATAAGAGAAGAGGAGTCCCGGAGTCGACCTACAATAGTAGCATACCGCATGACGGGTAAGCCGGTATTGATCGCATTATCATGTACTCTCTAGCGTAGGAGACATCACCGAGTAAGGCCAAGGTGACAAGCACATTGCTGGGATATGGGAATTACCATCAGCGAATCAAGTCCAGCAAAAGGACCTTAATTTGCTCAACAAATTCCAAATATGTGCTAGATAATGGACTTGACAAAATCTCGGGCAATCAATCAACACCCAACTCCGAGAGAGCTCGATGATTCGTCGATGAATCAGGGGTCCAATGGGGTAACCGATGGCGAAAGCAGCAGTAGCAGCCGGTCCGACCCCTGCCATGACCGTTAGTTAATCAATGCAGAGATAAGCAGGCAGACGAGGAATTGGACAGTGCTAGACTAACGGAACTACTAGAACGTTAGCAGAAGAACAGCTTCCCGCCTAGTCATGTAGTCTAATATATGTTGACTCCCGGCGGAAACTGGACCAGTAATGGACAATGGCGCACCCTGCTGGCTCCACAGGCGATAGCTGGAAAGAAGCCAACGCCCACCTGCAAAGGACCAAGTGCAGTGGCCGATGCACTTTAGCAGAAAGCCCCGGAGGAGTCCGTAGGCTTGATAGTCGTTGCCAAGCGTGCTTGATTAAAGAGCCAAGACTATCATCGGTCGGATAGATCGTGGCGATGCATGAGATGACATGATTTCTGGCTCGGATTCGGCCCGGACTGCTCGTGCCTCGGAGCCTTGGTACAGAATGGAATGTGATCCGTGGCTGCAATTGCTGGGATGGACCCGGAGTGGCTGGATGTTGAAGCGGAGAACGGGAGAAAAGACATTTGATCTGCTTTGTCGCATCCTTTGATAGCAGTGGCTCTATTCGAGAGGGGATTGGGCGGAAGGCCAAGTGCTTCCGCCTACCAAGTCGAGATGTCTGGAGTCATCAGAGGTCCAGTTTTAGGACTCACATCTGAAGTGGGGATGGATTGCTATGGCTGGTGGATTCCAGCCCCTTCCACCAGCTCGGATAGTACTGTTCTTGGTTAGTGGCCTTGACCACCAACTAGAATTGTTCTGTTGGATTGAGACCCGGGGTGACGACTACCCGATCCAAGGTGAAAGTGAAGCTCGGGTAAAGAGAAGAAGGGTCTCGCCCTCGGTGTGTTCCTTGAGATGATGTAAGTGGGAGGGAGACTGACGAGACAGGCGACAGCTGAACTAACGGGATGCAGATAAGAATCCTTTCATAAATACGGGTATTATTTCAACAGTATAAGTAGTTTAGTGCTATTATGCGCCTTACGTGGCTTTTAAGATCTAGGGCCACGGTCTGTAAGCCGGGCCCTGCAAGGTCTTCTGTCCGTCGTTGCGCGCCATTTACTACTACTGACATAATGAAGAGGAAATGGGAAGAACGAGACGAAGACGGTAAAATTCTCCAGCAATCACCGCCGCACTATAGCAATTGGGTAAGTGTGTGGCAGTATCAGATGCAATTACCCAAGCGAACCACCAGGCTTGGGCAGTTGAAGGTACTTTGATCGGTACTTTCCCCGGGAGCCGTTAAATTCCCGTCGAACGTCTTGGCTATTTATTCTGTAATAATGGACGTAATATTATTGCCATGCTCTAACTAGATCCTTTTTTTTCTCGGGTCGATGTTTGCTTCGCATTCTATCTGCCTCCCTCCCCTCTCATTTTCCTTCCCCCCACTGTATTCCTTCGCGGTGCGTTTCAGCCAGACACGATGGGAGCGCCGTGCCGACTGGGGCCAAGCCTGTCCGGCAACCTTATCGACCTTCGACGACGAGCGAAGATGACGGACAGACTTAAGAACGCATGTAGACTCCCCCGCCCCCTCAATACCCGTCGGATAATTCCTTGCCGTTGGATCCAGGGTGATTGGGGAACTGCACCGGCGACGCGTCCCTCAGAGAATGTTTCTTTTGCCGAGAGGGAGCAGCATCCACATCGGGTGGATAGATAGAGAGCTAGACGGTTGGATGGGCAGGGCGAGTCCCGTTAACATTAAAGTACCGTGGCACGGCTCAGAAGTTAAAATAATATTACCGACTCCCAACTATAATAACAGACTTCCAGCCCGCCTTACCCCCAAGACCTTCCGGCCATCTTGAAGCAAACAATCAATTTTCTAGGACCCAGTGCAGTATGAGGTCATACTTGCATGGGTGAACTACCGGCTCTGCTTGCTTGCCTCTACCCCCGATGCTTGCTCTACTTTGTATCTTCTCCGGTCTAGGAAAGTCATGCCATGGTGGCCCTGATAGGCCTCCTACTCATTCCGGTAATCAAGCCGCGGTCCAGCCCATATTTGTTTTCGGAAGATAATCTATAGGTTCGGAACAGACGTGGGGAGAAATTCGGAAGTCGAGGGCGGTCTTGACACCGAAAGACTGTTAGGAATTAGGAGATGCAGCTGACTGGGTATCCTCCGCGCTCGTCTCGAGAATCCCCCATATCTGCGATATGAGTGGTGGACGGACAACGGAGTTATGCCGGACTCCCTGGTTTGCGTCCTATGATAGAGAGCATAGGGCATTCTAGGGACGGGAGTTGAACAAAGAAGGGAAAATGGGAAATGGGGGGAACACAGAACAAAGGGCAGGGGAGGGGTTGGGAGGGGGAGGGGAAACAAAGGAAAGGAAAAGAGGAAAAAGAAAAAAAGAAAAAAGAAAAAAAAAGGAAAAAAAAAAAAAGAAAAAAAAAAAAAAAAAAAAAAAAGAAAAAAAAAAAAAAAAAAAAAAAAAAAAAAAAGAAAAAAAAAAAAAGTAAGATATTGAAAAAACCATAAGAGAATTAAAAATTGAAAAGAAAAGTGAAAGCGCGGAAAGGAAGTGAAAGTGGAGAGCGAGGGGGGTGGTAAATCGAATAAAGAAATAAATAGAATTGTAGGAAAAGAAAAAGTAACAATCAAATTGCGAGATTCTATGGATTGAAAGACTCCAAAAAATGGAAAAGAAAAAGGAAAACAAATTCTTGGTTCAGAAAATTTTTAGAAGGATTATCCCAGTCAAGCTGAAATAATAGTTGTTTAGGTCATACAGCAGCAGGAATGGAAACGATGTGATCGACAACCCTTCACAAACTGTTTGTTCGATCTTGTCACGACGTCTGAAAGTACTATGCTGCCACTTGGCTAGTTGTCGAGGCGTCCACGCCTAATCGTGAGTAGCACGAAATTGTGCATCCGTTTTGATCCGTCTCGACCCTCCCACCTTGTTGTTCCTCGCTGGGGTACATGCAAGGTACTAATCAATTCCCCTCTGTAGAGTGAAGTAGGAACACACGCTGGCTCTGGTCCCTGGGTTGGCTGAGGTCCTAATGGGTGTTTGGTTGTTGCTCCGCAGTCTCCGTCCGAGCCGCTGGTTCCTCTCCTGTCTCGTCTTTGTAGCATGACTGCCTGGAAATGTCGAACCGACCGTACTACTCCGTATACGGAGCAAGGCAGGAATAGTGGCCTGCGACCGCCTGCATGCCCTGCAGCAAATGCATCATCGGCCCGAGAGTAAGTTCTGTGTTGGAAGGAAATCCATGCACACTAGCCCTTATAGGTGGGCTGAGGCAGAGAAAAGGGTTCCTTTAGCACCGCTCGGCGACCAGTGATTCGTCGAGACACAAATTATTCTCACCAGCTCATGACAAATTGCGGTAGCCGACCACGATAGTCGTTGGGACTGCGGGAATATCAATGGCTGCGGCCCAAAAATTCCCACCATCTCCACCCGAGACAATGTTGGTTAGCAATCTGGCATCTCCACCATCTCATGCAATATTCTGATTAGCGCCAGTCGTGCGTGCCGGCAAATGTGTAACCACGGTCTGTCACGGATGCAGGCCGCTCGAGGACCACATTGGTCTGGAGATGGGATGTACCGACTAGCGTGGAGTTTGTCGTCATTGTTTCTCTGTCTGCCCTCCCCTCCCCTCCGTTGCCAAAGAGATACATGTTTTTCTTTTTGGAATGATCTACTGCTGTTTGTTTGACGGAAAGTTGAAGCAGCCAGTGGAGAAATGCATTCCAGCCGCTTTCGCATTTGCTTGTATTGGCGAGCGTGAACTGCAAACGTCACATAGTCCCGGTGAGAACCTTGAAATCGGTGCAACCCCCCTCGCAACGTCTGCGGAGGTGGAGGAAGAAAGGCAATAGCCTGGGGTGCTAAAAAACCACCCGCCCGGCTAGAGGGCCACTGGAGCTCACCTTTCGGCCGGTCGCTGTCGAGGCGGAGGAGCACAGACTCCATCTGTCCCCCCAGTAGGTGCAGGACGATACCTTCTTGGCAGGCAACGGGCTGCGTTGCAGGCCTCTGCGTCAGAGTCCATGGTGAGTTGATAACTAGCTAGCTGTCCCTAGCGCCCCCAATTTGGACACCTTGCGAGCAGGACAACCTGAACCCGCACAGGTCATGGCGGGTCTTGTGTAGCGTCTCGACAACTCTTCCGCTACTCTTACTCGCCCGTGGTTTCTGTATCCGGAGCAAATGGTTTCATCTGTTCTTTCAAAAGTTCCGAGCGAAGAAGCACATGTGCAGAACATGTGATGCCCTCTGTGGTTTCTGTGCGATTTCTAGATCGGCGCAGTATTCTCCTTCTGCGAATCCCGACGGCCACGACAGATGGGTACGTCGCCTTGCTCTTTGGTTTGCAGCAAAGGAAAACAAGCTTCATTGTTGGAATCAAGCAACACGGTAAGTGTTCAAAGAGAAGGATGGGAGTAAAAAAAATGAGATAAAAGACACGAAAAGTAAGGTATTAATAAAAGCAATCTATCAAACCAGACACTCTTTTTGGACTCCTCCAAGCGCCATGCATATAACGGTACCCAAATCCGCAGATCATAACCCGGGCTTGGCCTTTTAAGGGCCTTGATATCAGTAATGAGTAAGACAAGCAAGAAATGAAAGTACAGGATCAACGATATGTGCACAGGAGAAGCGAAAATAACATGAAAATCCGCAAAGCGGGATCGTATAGAAGGCATAATAAGCCGGAGTTAAGATGGAAGACATGAAGGCGTCGTAATGAAGAGTGTAGCGTCAGGTAGGCTCCGATATAGTCCCCGGAGGTAATGAAGCCAAGATGCGCCTGCTTGGATTGGGAAGAGGACCGTCGCTCCAGGCCAAAAAAGGAAGGTCGCACTGTCGTTGCCGCTCGCGATTGATTCATGGTTGATGCCATTCATTGACGACAGAGCATACACTTCCCAACCACCACAATGAACCTGTCATGCGGACTCTCTGAGCATTTGGTGTCTTTGGCTCCATCGACTGACGTCCGGATGAAATGTGCAGCCGGGTCACGACAGGAACTGTAGATGTAATAGTTTTTAAAATAATTGCACATGTTCCTCAAGTTTCGATTTCAACGGGCCAGGAAACGCAGTGCAATGATGATGAATGCAGTCGATTGAGCTTCGATCAGACAGAGGCGCTTTGCTGTATGCGGGGAGGCCAAACAAGAGTTTCGGACTGGACGAGGATGTGAAGCAGTGGAAGGATTTAGAATTTATCTGGAGCATTGACAAAGGCTCGTGCTTGACAGTTTCTCAAGAAGCTGTTGTCGACCTTCAAAAATTGACCTGGACCTGGAATAATATATCCCACTTCATGGTGGGCAGTAGTAGGGCCTGTCATGCAAGCACCAGGGATAGGAATTTAAGGCCCATCACAAGCCCCGTTGCAGCAAGGTTAAACAGGGGGAACGAAAGAAAAAAGAAAAAATAATAATAAAAAAAAGAGCCAAATACAATTTAATTTCAAAAATAATTATTCTTTAATTATTCTTTTTTTTCTGCTCTCCCCAATAAGAAAATAGGAAAGGATAAAAACAATCAAAAAATACAAATTAAAATGAAAATGCCAAAGGTGTGCCCAACAAAATCAATTTAGGTTCTCATCTATTCCCTTTTCTTTTTTTTTAATCAATTCCAACCTTTTATTATAGACCCGCTCCACGAACCTCAGGGCCGTTGAAGCCGTCCGGAGCAAACCTTGAGTACCGCAAGTCCCTGTCCCGATGCGGGTCCGAATCCATTGAAAGCGCATCAATCTCCTTTAAGGAGAACCATGTTGTCGCAACTACAAACTTTGAAGGAGCACCGGCGGATACCGTTCCACCGCGATGCGAAGCCCCATCTGCCGCGGATTGATCGGGTCAATGGGAGATCGACACGGTCCCTCGCAGCCGTTGATGCTTCACTTGCACGTGGCGCTAACTAGGATCTTCATGCATAGGTACTGGTGAGACTTTAGGGGAAAAAAAAAAAATCATAATTCTTTGCTTGGGCCTCAGTCAGAAATAGGGCCCTGCAAACACGAAGGGGCTGTGAATCTGTTCGGTCTGCAAAAATCTAAGCCCGTGCTTCAACAGAACCCGTTCCAGGGAGTCGCTCCAATTGGCTAACAGAGATAGCCTCTACTCATCCCGGGATAGCCAGATAGATGCATTAGCCAATATCGGGTATGGGGAAAATCGTAAGTTAGTTCGTCAGAATAGTGGATCATCATTGGGCAATGCGGAATATCATGGTGCCTGGCCCGTCCTGCTGCTTTGGATTGACTGACGTCTTTAATTCCCTTTCACTGTTACATCGATCAACCTGCAACTGCTTGTCCTATTGTCAGCTCCATCCCATTAATAACTTTATCCACAAGGTAATTTCACAGCATGGTGCCACCACCATCACTATGTAGCTCCGACCAGATGTCCGACTAGACTCGGCCACATGTGGCGGCAGTGCAGGCCTAGCGATACGGCGGAAGCCTGGAAAGGAATGTTCTCAGTCAGAGGGAACCTTGCGCCAGCCTACAGGAAGTCCAACATTAACCAAGACCAATTGCAATTGGAGAGAAGGCCAAGAGACCACCCATGCAGAGGACTCGCAATCACCATAGTGCTGCTTTTTGGTACAGCCCTGATAAGCTTTCAATTCGAAATTTGCTACCCTTGCTCGATGGGTAATCAGAATGGCCGCTGCACCGAACTCACGCCGGTTTGCCGTTAATTGTTGGTATCGTATGCGTAAGCTTCCGGGAGATCGGGGAGCAACGGTGCCAAGAACATAGTGGGATCCTTCTCACCTCAGTTATTGGCGTTGGTAATTCGCTATTCATTGCTGGCAGGTGAGAAACAACAAGACTATCATGGAAGGATCGGGTGCTCTCCGTAGGCACACAAGTAGGGAACAAGTGCCCACTCAGATGGTCCCATATGCAGAGAGTCTCGGCCCATTGCCAAACGGGTATGAACCTAGTTAAGCGGTTAGCGGGAGACTGTTATCGGCAAAGGGGTGTGAGGTATTTTCCCCCTACCTTTTTCTTTGCTTTTTTTGTTCCCCCAATTTCTTTATTTCCCTTTATACAGATCTACCATCAATCCAGGGAGGCGTTGGCAAGTGTTTTGGGTCAAGCAATCGAATTTCACCCATTAGACCAGGGTACAAGCGGCGAAAGAATCGACTTTCCTGTCCTCGGCAAATGTGATTCGATGTGTCGCCTGCCTTACGTGACCGGGACAGAGCAAGGTGGTAGTTTGCTTGCCGGGGGGAAGCCGGGACGGAGCATGAATAGATTAACCCAGTGTGAACCCAAATGAAAGGTAACAAGACCCATTTGAACGGAGTGTAGAGCAGCACCTGTGAAAGGGAACTATGGCATTAGTGACTAGTGAGACATTGAGAGGGCCGAAGGGGCCGCAATAGGTGTCCGCCTAACGATGATGGGGAGCTTGATCCAAGCCCGAGATAGGATGGTGTGCGGGGCTAAAAGGAGTTCCCTGGTGGTTTGCGAGTCAGAACCACGGCGCATCGTTGACAGCGTTCCGGCAAGAGGTCCAAGCTCGGCATTTCCCGAGTTGGACTTCGGAGGTTAGGCGGGGAGGAGGATGAGGAGGGGCCATGCATCGCACTCAATATTTTTTTTTTTTTTTTTTTTTTCCCTTCCTTCTTTTTCCAACAGTAACTCTTTTTCGTTCACTCAATCACTCTCACTCGCTATATCCTCCACCTAGTATAATCCCGACTCTCTCCCCTCATTTCCTCACCCTGGTCAATAATACCGCGGGGATGCCGGGATTGTTGCCTGGCACCATTTAACCCATATTTCGGCTAATGAAAAGAAGGGAGAATCTGAAGTACCCTGCGATCTTCCCGAGATGCTCACAGAAGGACTTTCTGAAATCAAGGGGCCGTGTATCGAAGAGTGGGCCATATGTACTACATGTACCTACAGACAAACTACTGCTACTGACTTATGCATCTAACTGGGGTCTACTTCCTACTTTAGTACTACTACTGCCCCATACAACCCGCGGACCATATCCTCGATCGCTTCACTTACAGTACTCTATACCAGCCACAGAAGTACGAACGGAGGCCATAAAGGAAACGGACAAACGCCGAATTCCAGAGTACTTTAGTGCAGGCACTAAGGACTCTCCGTACCTAAATTTGTAGCGATCCTGCTAGTTATCTATCTACGACTGGCCAACGCAGTCTAGCTACACCATCGTTAGTCTGCATGGCATAGATACTCCAATCCTGGACTAAAAAAAAATAGCACTATCAACAACCTTCCCATTCTAGCTAGCGCGGCGTTCTACACAAAGTAAAACCGCATCTGGGGAGATGCGCTAGTCCCAAACTAGCAACGGCTCCCCTTTCCCCCAGCCTGAATCCCGATCAGGCATTAGTGCACCCCGTGATCCTGCCTCATCCTGGCAGTTCAGCGCCCAGCGATCTTTTCCCACAATCTCCCCCTCCCCCCCTCTCATTCCCTCGTTGACCCAATCGCATCGTGGTCCTGTCGCTTTCGATAGGTTCCTCGGCGATATACTATCGGTGCTGCTCATCCTCAGATCTTGCTCTGCTGTCGCTGCAACAGCCACGTCATTCGTTGTGATCGCCCTCCGGTAAAAGGAGGGGTCGTGCTCTTTGGCTCATCTGGAAACCCGCCCGTCGTTGTGGAGACCGGTTGGATCCGCCCATCTCGTGCAGGTTATCAGTCGACCCAAACAATCGGACATCACACAACCCTCTTTCGTCTGTTGAGTCCAGGTGTGTGTGTGATATTCAAGATGGGTTTTGGCGATTTCGATTCGTTATGCGAGAAGGCTCCTTTGCCGCTCTGCTCCCTGGTGGGTCCACCATCTTCAATATCGGGCTCGACGGGCATCATACCAAATTGTTATGCGCGAAACATTGAACTGGCCAATACCATCATCTTCGAAGGGGCCTCCTGCTTCCTTCACATCATCGCGCTGGGGATGACCGTGATTATGATTTTGCATATCCGGTCCAAGTTCACTGCCGTTGGTAAGTGTCCTCACATTATGTCTCTATGTGTCGCGGTGCTGGAGTCAAGTGGCCCCCCGAGAACTGAACATCATTTACCAACATCATGTTATCACAGGTCGCAAAGAAATTATTACGTTCTTTTACATTTACATGGCTCTGACCCTATGTTCCCTGATCCTTGATGCAGGGGTTGTTCCACCTGGAAGTAGCCCATTTCCATACTTTGCAGCAGTGCAAAATGGGCTGGCGTCGGCGCTATGCACATCCCTGCTCATCAACGGATTTGTTGGTTTCCAACTCTACGAAGACGGAACAATCCTTTCAGTCTGGCTTCTTCGGCTTTCTTCCGCGGCGATGTTTGTCATCTCTTTCCTTGTCTCTCTCGCGACCTTCAAG